TTCTCTGTCACCGCCCCTCCCCCTGGCTTTTGGGAGAAGGCGAGCAGGAGGCTGAGCCCAGCACCCGCGGGACTCCCAGCCCAGCACGGGCTATCTCCTGCCCGCCAGCTCTGGCGCAAATTGCTAAAGAGCCAGGAAAGTCCAGGTAGAGTTCCAGGGCCACGTCCTGAGAGGCAGGCAAGATGCCACGTTGGCTCAGAGCTGCGTGTGGCCTGGGTACAATGAAGGCCTTGTCCCCACTTGTCCCTGCTGATACCTTGCCCGGCAGTCCCTTGCCTCCCTCTTCCTGCGCCCCCTCTTCCTTCCTCCCTCCACAGGGCCGGCATTGGTACCTGGATGCCGCGGACAGTCTCCTGGGAGGCAGAGCCAGCCATTCATCCGGGATGGAGGTGGAAGTGGCACTTCCCCTACTGGGACAGGACCTGACAGGCAGTGTCCCTTGTGGGCGGGCAGAAGCCACCCAGGCTCAAAGGGAGCCACCTCTCCAAGTTCTGCTCTGACGCCTCAGTATGTGCCTTGTGCCTTCTCAGGTCCTCCCTCCCTCCAAGGCCCCAGAGAGGAGGCAGGTTGTCATGGCATTTGTCACCATGCCACCAGCTCAGCCTGGAGTCCCACAGGCCTGTCCCCAGGCAGCCAGAGGCTGCCATTTGCAATGGAAGTGGCCTGGCTGGTAAGCACGCAGCACATCCTTTGAACCTAAGGGAGCAGCCCCTCGGTGCTCCTGGCTCCCTCCACTTCCCATCCTGTGGGCACCATGGCAACCCTGCTGCATCCACCCCTGAGATGGGTCCCCCACATGCCCGGGTTTCCTGGGGGCCTGCACCAGGGTCCAGCAGACCTGGGCTCGAATCCCAGATGCAGGCCTCGGGCAGCTCCTGCCACTCCTCAGAGCCTCGGGACCATTTGTACACCGGACAGTGACGAAATGTACCTCTGTGGTTACTGTGAGAGCCGACCTGAGCCCACACATGCAACATGAAACCACACGTATGTGGGGCTTAGGTCAGTGTGCGTCACACAATACACACTCACACACACACACTCATACACTCACACAACACACACTCACACAACATACACACACACATATACTCACCCAACATACACACACAACACACACACACTCACACACACACTCTCACATACACAAATTTACATATGCACACACATATACACACACACTCATATACACACAACACACACACTTACATATACACACACACAATACACACACTCACACATACACACATTCACACATACAAACATATACGCTCTCACATATACACACTCACACGCTCACATATACACACACTCACACACAATACACACAACACACACATACAACATACACACATAATACATACACTCACACACACATACACTCACATATACAAACAAAACACACAATACACACATATATACACACACTACACACATAATACACACTCACGCACACAATACACACATGCACAATACACACACAATACACACACTCACACAATACACACATACACACTCACACATACACACCCAATTCACACACACAATACACACACTCACATACACATAGTCTCACATCTGCACAGATACACACTCTCACATACAAACACACAACACACACATACACAACACACATACTCTTACATACACACACCCACAATACACACACACTCTCACACACACACAATACACACACACTCTCACAAATAGTCTCACATACACACTTTCACATATACACACACACATACTCTTACATATACACACACCCACAATACACACACTCAAACACACTCTCACACACACACAATACACTCACACACACATTCACACATACACACACACTCTCACATATACACACACTCAACACACACACATACTCTCACATATACGCACATACAATACACACAACACACACATACACAATACACACATAATACACACACTCACACTCACATATACACACAAAACACACCACACACACAACATATATATACACACATATACACACAAAAAACACACACATACACTCACACACACATACACACTCTCACACATACAATACACACACATAAACACACTCACATACACAATACACACATACACACTCACGCACACATACACACAATACACACACAATAAACACACTCATACACAATACACACACATACACACAATTCACACACACATATATACACACTCACACACATATACACACTCACATACACCACACCTACATTCACACACACCCACACACACACATTCACACACTCTCACACACAGCCAGTAATCTGAAAGCAATTGCGATGTGATATGAGATTCAAAACAGAAACACATTCTAGGCACATTGGTGGCCTCAGGAAGGTCAGGAAGCTTGTCCCCACCCATATCTGCGCTGGACCTTGGAGGAGGAATAGGAGATGGCCAGGGGAGGGGAGCAGCAGCCTGGCCAGAGGCAGCAAATAATTCAACAGCAGGGCCTCAGGGAGCGAGGGTGCCCGGGCAGGGATGGAGGCCGGCGGGGCGGCAGGTGGCCGGCCACGTGGGCTGTGGGCACAGATGGGAGCTGGGGTGGCGGGGGCCTGCAGGTGCTTTCAAGGAGGGGGTGAGGCAGAGATTTGCACTTGAGAAACCTCCTGGGTTGGGGTCCTTGTGGCATGAGCTGGGACAGGGAGAGATTAGAGGGCGGGGGACCAGTTGGGGTGACTAAAAACTCCCAGGGAGAGATGGAGAGGGTCCGATGGGGCAGTGGCAGGGGGAGGGAGAGGAGGGTCTGCTCTTGGAACTCATTAGAGGTCGGAGTTAAATAAAAATC